TGCGCCCATCACGGTGCTTAGTGAGCAGTTCTGTTCTTAGGGAAACTAAATCAATTATATTTGCAAAAATAACTTCTTTTCTTTTACTGTTTAGTTGATTCTGCGCATTTTTAATTTGAGATACACAGTAATTTATATCTAAAGAGTACATCGCTGATGGAAAAAATTTCGTTAAAAATAATAACTAGAAGAACAAATTCAAAGTCATTATACATATTTAAGTAGCCGTAGCTCTGTCTTATTGAAGCCTGATCAGAATTTGGGTCCTTTAAAATATCATTAAAAACTTGGTTTAGAGAATTTTAACTTTTACGAATACGACTCAAAATCTTAGAATTAGATGACCATCTTGTAACTACTAAAGTGGGTATTCGCTTATTGGGGATTACATCGGCGGCGTGAGTTATTTTTGCTGAATGATGAAAAAAATAAGGCAGACCATTCACATTAGCAAAAAATATACGATACTACGAAATGCTGTTACAGCTTTGAGACAAGATTAAATTCAGATGATGCGCCAAACAATGAACGAACACCGCCTCTGATGCTACTTCCTTAATTTTCGATTGTAAACCATTTAAATACCCTGACATACCACTAGCGCCGTCATAACATTGTCCAACAAGTTTTGATTTGTAGTCGTATTTTTTTAGACAACATTTAACTAGGGTAAGCAATGCTTGAGCTGTTCGATCATAACTTACATCATGGAATCCTAAACATCTTGAGAGTTAACATACCTAATTATTATGCTACATTGAGATTTTAGAGCAATATCTGTTGAGTCGTCTACTTGAATGGAAAAAAATTGCAATCATTTAATTTCATTTCAATATATTTGTCAATATATTGAGAAATACAGTTTATTAAATCAGTTTTAATTATTTTAGAACTTGCGGCAAATACAAGCAAAATTTGTTTATAGTAATTTTAAATATCTAAAAAACTGAGTGAGATATAGGAATCTAAAAGTTCCTTTAAATTACCGCGATTTTCGGAAGATTTATCTTCATTATGACCATGAAATGCCAATTCTTATTTTCCTAGAAAAAGAACTACATAAAACGTCTTTAAGGTGCACTTTTTCATTAAATCATTTTACAGAGTTTTCTTTTAAAGCGACTTCAATAGTATTTAATTTTTTTTCTGTAAATCATGATGATTTATGTTTATGTAGGCCTCGAGTTCCCAAAATCACTAAAACCGTCTTTATTCCATACATTTGATTTTATGCCTACTATAAAACAGGGTACGCAAAAAAGCTTGTTTAAATAAAAACTACCACACAACCGTTTACATTCGGAATACCACTCTTTTCGAAATTTTCGCACAAACACTTTGTCTTTTGACTTAGTTTTTTTGCTTACATTTAGTAGAGGTTCAGGTTTTGGTGAATTTAAAAACTCTTTTTTATTCTCACTTCCCCTTCTATAGAATGGCATCATCTCCAATAGCATGCATACTGGATCATGTACTGGAAACATTGTTAGAAAAATCAAAAAAAACTCACAATAGTCGCAATTGATCAACTAGTCCAACCACTGTATGAAAATAGTCCCGCCCGGAAGAAGCAAACTGAATCAACGCGTCAAGTGTTGTATTAATCGGCTATGTCAAAACGTGCCATTACCATGGCAACCATCATAAACGCGCCGTGTTCGGAGGTTTTATGCATAGCGCGTCAAGTGCTCCGTACGTTCGAATTAGGAAATCTTTCTATTGTATTATTATTTTCAAAAATAAGCGAGCCTGGACGGTTGGATTTTTTTTATCAAGCACCTCGTTTGTTTCATGCAGTGATCTAGATACCCCGAAATTAGGTACAGTTTTGGAGGTTTCTATTTTGTAATTTATATAGAGACAAAAATGCAGAGCATTTTGTTGCAGAAAAAGAAATATTTAGCTATTCAGTTGATTTTTTTATTAATTTCTACTTAAATTTTGGTGAAGTAGCGCGTCACCTGCGCCACCTAGCGAGCTGCCATTGGATCATGTCAATATTTTTTTAATGTAGGGTTTGTTTCGATACAAAAAAATTTAAAATATATTTTTGATTAGGTCCTCAAGCTGCAGCGACCCTTTAAACCTAACCTAACCTAACCTAACCCTAAATAAAAGGCTAATGGGTTGTGGCGACCTTTGCATGCCATCGCCCTTAATGTAAAGCAGTGATTCTCAAAGTGCGCAATAGTGCCCACTTAGGGGCGCTTGAGGTCTTCAGGGGAGCTTTAGAAGGCTCAGGGAAAAATGGGGGACATTAAGGTGGTCTAGGGGGGGCGGTGACAGTTATTAAAAAAATTATATTTCAATATGTATTTTGGCAGTTCTATAAATAAAATTGTTTCGATACCAACTTTGCTTATGAAAATCCAGTATTAAAACTAAAAAATATTTTAACAGATCCCTGTTAAGTAAAAAACAGTGTTAATGGCATATTTTCGATATAAAATCGCAGGTTGATGACAAGCCAAACCATAAAAGTAATAATATGACATTAACACTCATTACTCATTAGTCAACAGGGATCTGTTAAATTATTTTTACTTTTTAGTGAACATTTTTAATAAAATCGTATAACTTAAAAAAAATGTTCATTATTTCCTTTTCATCTTTTTAGTTAAAATGTGTGTGTCGTCTACTAGAGAAATTCGTCGCGCCGCTACGCCAGGTTGGTTATTGTTGTATTGTTTTATATTTATACGTTTTTAATTAATACTTTAATAATTTCTATACAGGGTGTTCCATCTCAGACGAGCCACCCCGTATATTTCTTATCCCATAGTAATTGGAAAAATTTCCCGAAACAATCGGATGATTTTCTTTAGAGGACATTTTTTGACGTATATTTAAGGCTTGAACGAGCAACCCCCTATGAGGGGGCGCTTTAACCCCTCAAAATTAAATAGGAAAGAGGGATTAAGTGATACTTCATTTGTAAGGTCTTGGAAGCTTCTTTCCAACGGTGTATGAAAGAAATCACATTTTAAAAAAAAATTAATTGTTTTATCACATGAAATGATCGAAGAAACGTGATAAACACCTTCTAAGAACAAAACGTAAAGGCAATATAAGAAAATGTTTTAATTGTTTTTATTTAATAGTTCGAGAGAATTTATTATTGTATGGAAGTCAATGGAGGATAATTTGAACATTTGATTTAAAAACGCAGTTGTGATTTTTTTGATTGTAAGCATGATGAAACAGTTAATTTTTTAAAAATGTGATTTTTTTCATAAACCGTTTTAAAGAGGCTTCCAAGACCTTTTAATTGAAGTATCACTCAACCCCTCTTCTCTATTTAATTTTGAGGGATTGGAGCGCCTTTTCATAAGGGGTTGCTCGTTCAAGCCTCAAATATACGTCAAAAGATGTTCCTCAAAGAAAATCTTTTGACGTGTTCCGGGAAATTTTTCCAATTACTATGGATGGAACACCTTGTATATGAAGTTGTGCAAATTTCTTTCTTAAAGTGCACAAAATAATAATTAAACACATAATTTGAATTCTCACGATCCGCCACTGCTACCTAATGTACTATCATGGCTAAATCCAAATAAACTTATTCCGCCGGCAATCATGCACGAATCGACAGGAATATCTGTCATAACTTGTTTGTACGAATTCGTACATTAAATAATTCCTGTCGGTATGAGTTGCATTTCCAATCTACTTGTAAGGCAGGGTAGGGTGGCTTTGTTTTATTTTTATCAGCATTTCGGCATCGGTAGCAGTTTTCTAAAGATACACGAGATTCCAAAATAAATAGTTGATTGTTTTTTTTTACTTAAGTAGTGTGCTGGCCATGACAGAGGCAAACAAGAAGAAACGGTAGTATAGAGCGGAATATACTAAATATGGATTTATCAAAAATCCTACAAATCCATCATCGCCCATGTGCTTTCTTTGTCAAAAACGTTTTCAAATGAAGCCATGAAACCTTTGAGATTGAAAGAACATTTAAATAAAATACATGTGGATAAGAAAGACAAAGAGATGTGACATATTTTCAAGAACTGGAAAAGAAACACATAAGCATAGCCCACTATATCAAACCTTTTTTAAACTCGTATCGACAAGATACCGACGGACTACAGGCTTTGTACAATATTTCAGGAAATCAGGAAAACCACATTCTGTTGAGGAAGATTTAATTTTACTGGCAGTGAAAGAAGTCATAACCACTGTGCTCCACAAATCAGGAGAATACATTATCCGAAAAATTTCTTTGACCAATAGTTCCGTGCAAAGACGATTCGATGAGATGACTAAAGACGTAGAAGACTCATCGTGTAATTATCTGAAGACTTTGCAATTTTCAATTCAGCTGGATGAGTGCACTTTACCAACTAATGAAGCATTATTGTTGGCATATGTAAGGTTTATCAAAGAAGAGAAAATGTGTCAAGAATTATTATTTGCCAAAAACTTAAAAACAGATACAAAATGAGAATCCATATTTTAGACACTAAAAAAACTTTTGTGGCGGAAAGAAAATTCCTTTGGATAATATTTTATCAGCTGCTATGAATGGCGCTTCTTCTATGACCCAGATATACAGAGGCTTCATTGCATACTTAAAAAATGAAGTTTCAGATGTGATTGTCATACACTGCGTTATTCATCGCCAGCATTTGGTTACAAAAAATCTAAGTGAACGTCTGCACATTTCACTGCAATATGTAATCAAAGCAGTTAATAAGATCAGAAGCAACCCACTGAATGACAGATTAGTTAGTCAGCTTTGTGTTGCCAATGATAAAGATTCCAACCGTATGTTGCTTTACACAGAAGTGCGTTGGTTATCAAGAAGTACTTGTTTGACTCGCTTTTACAATCTGTTTAATTCTGTGATAAAGTTCCTGGGCAAAAAAAGACATAATTACGCCATAACCTCATCACATCAAAGCAAGATATTGTCTACTTGACAGACCTCTAAAAATTGTTTAATGATGTGAATCTCCAACTTTAAGGCGACGACTTAAACTTGATTAAAACAAAAAATGATTTTGCTGCTTTCGTGCCAAACTGTAACTTCACAAAAAAATAACTTTCCTAGTTTATCAGCAATATCTTCCAACATCAACAATGATGACTTGCTTGTTTACTGTCAATACTTGGAAAATATTCACGCTTACTTTAAAGAACAATTCCAGGACATTTTGAGTATAATAGCCTGGGTGTTAGATCCTTTTTCAAATGTCGACACAGCAGGATCATCCCAGTTGGAAGAAGAACTTATAGAACTAACAACAAACGAGGAATTAAAAAATAAATTTAAAAATGCTTTACACGAATTTTGGTTGCAGAATCTAATCACACAACTGTATCCTGGATTATGGTCGACGGTTCAACGATTCCTAATATCATTCTCATCATCATATTTATCTCAGCGTGGATTTAGTGCAGTAACGACCCTGCTAACTAAGAAGAGAAATTGGCTGCATATTACTGAACGTGGAGACTTAAGTAAGCCGCACATTGAGACGCAGATGATGCAGACGATGCAGTTTAGGGTAGGTTACACAGTTCAGGAAAAAATACGTATCACGCAGTATGAGCGCATATTTGAGAGAAGCTCTGGCAATTCTTGTTTTGTCGTACGAGTGCAAATAGCAAATAATATTATTTGGACATACAAAGAGCTTTTTCTGATTGGATCATGACGTTGTTTTTGGACAGTTCCGAGTCAAAGTCGGACGCAGAATTTAAAGAACTAGTTCTATTATACAACCTATCAAAAAAAAATAATAATTTTGGAAAAGCAATACTCACTGGGAATTTGCACTATCGGAGGAATCACAATCCTATGTTAAACATTTTTTCAAAAAATTTCGTACATCATCGGTATTATCGGCTTGAAGAGTTGTTGTTGTTGTTTCAGCAGACAATTAAGAGCTTTGAGTGAGTGTAGTAAGTGAATTGCTTCTCTATTGTAAGTCGTAGGTATTCAAAGGTAAAGGAAGAGGTGTTGTTAAAATGGTTAAATAAAAGTTGTTGGTAACAGGAGAAAGAGCAGTTCGAGAATTACTATAATTCTGATGTTCTATACGCTGGCTATGACGAAAGCTTGGGCTTGGTGATGGAAGAGTTGTTAACAAGTAAAATGAATGGGGATGCGAAGTACGTGTGTTAACATGTGTATATGGAAAAGTTCTTTGTTCGGTATAATAGTATTGTTGACTCGTGTTCTGGATTTTTAGATATGCAGCTTCTACTTGCACTACAGCTTGAAACTTATTAGTTCTTGCTAGATGTTTAAACTAAGGAGGAATTGTTTTTGTTCTCTCATACATAGACATATAAAAATAATAACTATCATCATTTAAAAGCTTCTGTGATGTTCTTTCAACTGCTCTTTCGTCGGTTCTTTTTTGAGGTAGAATCATTGATTGTTTTATTATTTTCTACATATCATCGTTTTTATTTTTCTTATTTTTAGACACAGGTGTGGTTGTGATTGACCGCTCTTCAGTTATAGATACTTTACGTTTGGCATTTCCTTTTTTCTTATTTGCATACCAGTACCAGACGTAGTCGGCTCATCAACCACATGATTATTCACGTTATCAATTTCCTCGTAATCATGTCGAACGTCGTTGGTTAGCTCTTCACTCTCAAAAGTTTTAGTTTCAAGATCAACTACGGATCCCACTTTTTTTGTGTATCTTCATCTTCACTATCATTCTCTAAGTTACCTTCATTTGGTATGTTTGACATATGTAGAATAAAAAACTGCATTTGTTTTTGAAAGTTTTATTGTTTTATGTTAACAGCAGGAGCCACGCTTTTATGAAACTTTTCTGTCTCCGCAGTGCATTGTGGTGACGGTTAAGTAGCTTTAGCCACAATTTATTTGCCTCATTTCCTGTAAAAAAGTTTATATTTTTGACTAGTTAGGTATATTGGAAATAATTCTTTCGATATTTTTTTAACATAAATGAAATTTAGACGTAAAGGGGGTTTAATGAAAAAAAGATAAAAAACAAAAAAACAAACCTTAAAATAGCAAATTATGTGATAGGTATGTTTAAAAAGTAAATACATATGTAACTTTTTTGCAGATATTTGGCTTCTGGAGATAGCTACAGAAGCATAGCGTATAGCTATAGAATGGGATATCGTACAACTGCTAACATAGTAAATAAAGCATCTGCTGCAATATAGACTAATATGCAACTAATGTATTTGCCAAAACTGACTACTGAAATGGGGCAAGCTATTTAATTGGATTTTGAGAAAAAATGTTATGTGCGTAAGAACTGTCTACGGGAAACATATAGTGATTAAAAAACCACTAAAAACTGGCTTCTCATACTAAAATTACAAACAAAATTGTTCCATTGTTTTAATGGCTACCGTTGATGCCAATTATAAATTTACTATCATTGAGGTAGGGTCAATGGGAGATTTTGCGATGGTAACATTTTTTCAAGCAGCCCACTTGGGAAAAAAAATGATAAGACAAACTTTGAATTTTTTACAACCGCCTTTATTTGGTACAGCTGAAGATCCTTCCGTTTTGCTGGGTGATCAAGCTTTTTCGCTAACAGAAAATTTATTGCGACCCTATCCGAGGTGAAGCGTTACTGGTAATTACGAAAATAAAATAATTAACTACAGGCTGTCACTAGCCCGTCAATGTGTTGAATGTGCTTTCGGAATTCTTGCCTCTCGATTTCGTGTGTTTAGAAGACCTTTTGAAAATAAACTTAAAAGCGTAATGTTACAAAAGCAGCTTGCGTTCTCCACAACTACCTAAGAGGGTGTAAAGAAGCCTGTAACATCTTAGACGGAACCGATAATGAAATGCCCTCAAGCCAGCTACTTTCATTGCGAAACAGTTAAACCCAAAGTACATCAAACGCTTTTCTAATAAGACAAAAATTTACGCAATATTATAATACAAAAGGGCAAATACCTTAGCAAGAAGCAAGTGTTTTACAAGGAAAATTTTAATATTTTGTTTAATTGAATCACATATTTGAGAAAACCCACATGTCCACGAATGATAGTTTTGAGAAAAACGGGAAAAACTGTTTTTGGCAGAATCACATTATACAACTGGAAATATACTTTAGAAATACGTTAGAAATTTCATGTAAATTTAAATGTTAAATGTGTGGTTTCTAAAATACACGTTTATTTGCACAGTACTTTTTTAGTTATTTATTTTTATTTTATGAACAACTTAATTCAATGGATACATGATTAACTAAATGTTTATTATTCAAGAACATCTTCATCTTCTCTACCCACTGTTAGACAGGAAAATATTTCCTGATAAAAATTTCTTATCGGTTCATCTTGGTCGCGAGTAAATCGTTCAAATTTCTTGATGGTACCATTTTTTCGCATTAATTGGTGCCTTGACGTCTGGACAGGCAGCTTCGACGGAAAAAGATGTGATTGGCGTGGATGTGTTTAATTTAAATACATGTTCGGTAAGACCTGTAAATGTTTGAACCGTTATTTCGACACAACCACCTCTTACTCAAATGTCATTTTTCGTCTTGTGAGTTTTATTTTTGACTTGGTTGACAGCGACAACCAACTTGATTTTATTTTAATTTATCTTGGTCACCCGAAGTATTAGATGATTTTTAATATTCTTAAAATCCGTTTGAGTTTATAAGCTCATAGCTATGTCAAGACGGTTTTTGTTTTATCTCTAGACGTGATTTGGATTTATCTCTAGACGTTTTTTGGATTTATCTCTTGACGTTTTTTTGGTTTAATCTCTAGAAGGTTTTGGATTCATCTCAAGACGTTTTGGTTCAATCTATAGACGGTTTCAATTTTATCTCTGGACGTTTCAGCTCAAGATAGTTTCGAGTTCAAGTTTGACTACCATATATCAGAAGAACATTCACGTTGCAGAATTATGCAGAATTACGAATAAGGATCCAGAATCCCTTTGTGGAAGTTGCCTGATGATATACCTTGAGATAACCTGTTTTACATTCCGTATATTATCAAACTTTACCAAAAGATAAATGCTTACTCAATAAATCATTTTAAATTTGAATTTAGTAAAACTTATGTGAATTAGAATTTGCTAACTACCGTATCTAAAGCATGGTTTAAGTATTATTCGTTAGTGGTTGCTAATTTTCTATATGTTTATCACTAATCTAGTATCAAGTGTAGTAAGCTTTAAATATAGTGGTGTCCAACTTCTTTTTCAAAGTTTTTCGAGTTATTTAAAAACCTAACCCACGCCCTATAAATTGAGCTCAAACACATATAACAAGTAGATAGAATAACTAGATATCACGTTATAGACCATCAATATAGTTGCGGGCAAGGACATAACCTTTCTTTTCTTCTGTATGAGTGAACTGCATAAAAGTTAAAATAGTGAAGGAAACTTTCTTATCTTTTGGTACACCTCTACCTAAGGAAGCCGTAGGTAAGTAGTTTTTCTTGTAGAATTGGGGCAACCATGTTTTGCAATCTTTTAACACGCTGTTTTCTTCATCCATCAGATAGACGGAAAAACTTCTTTTGGAACTTGACATGATGATGAGTTCAGTATATTCTTTTAATAAAAAAATTCTGTAATTTTTCTTTATCTTTCTTTTAACCACAGCGATGTTCTTATCACAAGGCACGAAGGAATGCACTTTTATCTGAAAATACTGATTAACAGTCATACAACTTCCAAGATCTACTAGCGTCCTACAAGTCCTTATAATGCAGTGATTCTTATTTTCCCCGCCACATCCGTCTAAAAAAATATGAAGATGTTTATTAATTTCAGGAATTCCTCGCCTTATGTAGTCCATGCTAAAAGAACAAACCTCGTTGGGTTCTTTCTTGCCCAAACCTTTATGATAGATATAGAAGAACGACTCACCAGTTTTCAAATTATGGATATTAAAGACGTTTACTGTCAGCTGGTGTAGGTAAAATGTATCCTGAACAGGGATCGAAGGAACAGAGAGATTTTGCATGTAGTCAATACATATCCTTCCTACCGATGGATCGTTTCGGCATAACTCTTGAATTTACTCCATTTTCGTGAAAAACTTCTTCCCTCTTCTTTGATGGACCATCTTTTCAGCAACAGCAACCCTCTTTGCAACATCATTTAAACACTTCGATTTAATCTTGCTGGAAAGCTTTTTGCACGTACAACATGTATCCACTTGGGTCCTTCCAAAAGATAATCTGAATTTCTCTCGAAAAATTCGTCTATAAAAACTGTACTTTACAAAATATTCTGGGAATTTCTCAAGCAGAAGTTGATGCATCTTCTTGATGTCCAGTTTTTTACTCAAATATTGGTAATCCCTGTTAGTGTAATGAGCACGCTTGACAGAAAAATATCTCATGTGATCCTCTAGCATTCTTATGACTTCTCCTGGTGTGGCCTTTTCAGAAGTTTTTTTCCATCATTTGTCTCTAAGAGATTTTCCCAAAGAAAGTAGATCGAACAAACGCCGGACACGATCATTGGTTATGCCATGTATACCCATGCACAGCCAGTAGTGGCTCTAATGGGCTTGTCTACCTTTTGTTTATATTTGTTTATATTATACTGATAAACGCCGCCTTGCATACTGCAAACTTACTAGAACTAGAAGATACATTGTATTTGAAAGTATGCGATTTAGGTTTCGCAACCTCTGGATTTACTCGTGGACGTTTTCTTGTCACTGGAGTACATTCAATCAAAGCCTGGAGATACGTATCCTGTTCATTTTTTGTAGTAAAATCATAAAACTTCTTGAAGATTTCAACACGATCACCGTCGGGTATTTTTGAAAAACATTTTGCCCTACACCTGAAAATTTTACACCGGTAGGCGTCAGTATGAAACCAATTAATTTCTGGCAGAAGTGAGGTTAAAAATTCACATAACTTACCTACAGTTTTGTCCTTTATAGTTTGTATATGCCTCGACTTCCACCCTTGCTTTTTTTATAACTTCGCATGACATTGTCGTGAACCACATCTTCATGTCCGGGACATGTGGGGTTTCTAAAATACATGACGATTTCAATTATGAACTGTAAGCAAACCAAGCAGCGGACTTGTGTGCTTTCTCTCTAAAAGATGTATCTATATTAGATAAGTTGATTTTTGGTAAAAACCCCTACATGCCCAAAATGTGGACATGTGGGGTTCCTGAAATACATGACGATTTCAATTATGAACTGTAAGCAAACCAAGCAGCGGACTTGTGTGGTTTCTCTCTAAAAGATGTATCAATATTAGGTAAGTTGATTTTCGGTAAAAACCCCTACATGCCCAAAATGTGGACCTGTGGGATTCCTGAAATATGTGAATCAATTAGTAAAATCTTGTAATGGCCAAGACAATGACGTAACAATGTAGCAATGTATATTATTATGTACTTAGCCAAACTCGGAAGGCCATTCTCTAACTTAAATTATTATAACGTAATCGTTTAACTTACCACTTCTTCAATTAAGTTCTTTTTCTAGGTCTTTCTATAATTCATTCTTTAATTTTGCTTTTAAATAATTGGGATCGTTGGTATCATAAAGAATTAAATACCTCCTTACCAATTCAATCATATTTTCATCCATTTTGAATATAACCTCAAAAAAAGTATCGCGAAACAAAAGTTACTATGTACGTGGCGCAGGAAACTGTATCCGGGAGACTGTGCTATCCCTCAGAGTAAACAATGTTTGTGTCGCCATGATAATATGGTCGAGAATTCTAATTAGAGAGAAATAGATTAATATCTCTATCTCTTTGTTTGTATTTGTCAGTTTTACAGAGCTTTTCTCAGACAATTATTCCAGTGTTTAATTTAAATTTGTTCGTGTTGTGGTGTTAAAAGTAATTGTTATTAATATTATATTCATAACAAAAAAGTCATATTTTGTTTTCACTTCATTAAAAATGCACCTACCTACCTTTTATAACATTTTATTGTATATTCTATTTGGTCAACATTTTCGCATTTAAAATGACCCAGCGAAATTTTTTTACGGTACGCTACTACTGAGAATTCTAAAACGAGTGAGAAAGCCTTCATTAGAAAGAGAGATACTGATTATATGATAGAGAGATTAATATTGTATAACTTTATGCAGTGGTGGCCTATCTGCTATCGCTATCCAGGTTTACTTAAATGCAGTTTTGAGCTACCCTACTCTGCTTTTCGAATCTCGCGGTGCTATTAAATTATACTGAATTTAGAAACTTGCATGACGAATTTTAATGTTTTAGGCTCATTTTGTGCGGGAGTTCTCCACGTTGGTCCCATCCCAGAGAGGTTAAATTATTTATTATTAATTAACTGTAATAAAATTAATTATTTTTTACTTTTTAGTGAATTTTTAGTCGTTTATTTTATGTTCAATAAGAGGTGTTTTTTAGATACTTACTTAGATATAATATACTTTAAAAGTTTTGATGGGCGCTACACAAATGTTTATCCTCAAAATAAGTTTGACAAAGTGTCCGTATCATGAGATGCAATCGATCTTTAATCAGTTAGACTGTCTTTAAACTTCACTGTTTAATTTTTGTGCTTTTCTCTATAATAATATGTTTTCTATTAGGGGCATTTCTTCTTCTACTTTATTTTGTACTAAGCGCCAGGTTGGTGCATCATAAAAGATAACTGTGTCGTCACAAAGCTAATTATGTGTCCATTAGTATAAACTTCAAATAATTCATTTAAATATGTATTGAAAAGTATAGGTCCAAGCACTTTGCTTTGATTGCTTTCTTTAGGTCAGATAGGAACGCAAAATATTAATTAATTTTCCTCTAAACCCTATATTTTCTAAAGTATCTAACAATTTTGCATGGCTGTCCATGTCGAATGCCTTCGATCTTTAATCAGTTAAGACTGTCTTTAAACTTTACTGTTTAATTTTTGTGTTTTTCTCTATAATAATATGTTTTCTTACCAATATCTTTATATCCAATATTTTGCTCCTTGATTCGAAGTATCTTCTCCCATCGATGGGTTATGAGGTAATCTCACCATAGTGGCAAGGATCCATTTTTAGTTCACATCAGCAGTTGTGCAACAATTTATATAAGTCTGTACAGGCCATAAGTCATATAAAGTTATAATAGAACTCATAGAAGAGCCAAAAGCAGCAGGTACGATTCATATCTACACCGACGGTTTTAAAACAAATCAAAGCTCAGGATGTGGAATATACTCCAGATTCTTAAACCTAAACATAAAATGGGCTGTGAGCAAAACTGCCAGTGTAGTTCAAACAGAGTTAACGGGGATTCTCATAGCAGCAAAAGAAATAACCAGAAAGAATATCGCTGAAAGGAACATGCTCATCTATACAGATAGCTGACAAGCACTACTCAACCTGAACAGACCACGAATTTATTCAGGGTTAGTACAAGAAGCTTTGGCCGAAGTATCCATCAACATGTGGTCACCTTAAGATGGATCAAAGGTTACGCCACATCGATAGGTAACTGTCTTGCTGATTTATTAGCCAAGAAAGCAGCCAAACAAATACTTTTTGAACCTGGCCCTTCTATTGGCCTGACAAAATCAGTATTGCCAGACCTAATTAAAGAACATTCCCTTGTGAAATTCAAGGAAAGATGGGATGAAACAAGAAACTGCAGTTTCCAGGGAGCTCTTAAGTTATCCTAACAACACTGCAGCAAACAAATACTTGACTATGACTAGACAGAATCTGCGCCTAGTCACAGACATTCTAACTGGTCATTACCAAGTACGGAAGCTTCATATTATGGGGCTGTCAGAATCCGCACTCTGCAGAGGGTGCGAACAAGAAGATGAGACCATCGAGCATATCCTTTACGATTGCTCGACGCTCTCATTTATTAGAAGATTTGTGTTCGGCAAGTATCGGCTAACACCGGCCGGTATAAGAGAAGCACCTCTTAGCGACGTTGTCAACTAGATTAAATCTGTAGGCTGGCTCACGAGCTAGGAGGTGCCTATCATCTTAGGAGGCCTAAGTGCCGTGAGGGTAACCCACCTTCCACACGCTACAGATATATAGAGAGAGGCCTGAAGATGGTCTTAGTGCTGAAACCGGTTGACATGTAATTTTAAGGACTAAACAATTTATGTGGGATTGATTTTGAGTATCATTTCTTAAGACTTAAGATGACCATTTTTGAGCAGCTGGATATCCTTCTTCACTTTTTTATATTTTCCTTTTCAAAAACAAGTAACATACTATTTTAATATTGCCATAAAGTTAGTTATTTCTATTCTCTTTCATATACTATTATGCATTTGAAAAGGCCGTTGATAAGAAAAACAATAATAATTATAAGATAAAAGTGAAAGTATCAATGAATATATTCTTATTTAGGATGAGCTTAGGTCAAAACGTTATCTCTATTTTATGACGTATTAATAATGTTGACTGATATATTTTGTTATTATTTAGTCTAGATTCGGTTGTTAGTCAGAAATTAAATTTACTTAGGACCAAATACAATTAAAAAATCATGTCCATGATGAGATACTCAATTTTAATTTTTGCTATAGTTTTTGCGTATACAGATGCTTGGGTTGCAATGTCAAAGTCCGATCCAAATACTGGTAAGTAATAATGTTTTTAATTTAAAAAATGTATATTTAAACATTTGACCTTTAAAATGTTTTAAATTTCAAAAGGACTTAATAATATTATTTTTTAATATTAGTTTTTTATTTTCTATCATATATAGAGCACCTAGGCGATTGTTACACAGACCATAACAACATTGGAGCAATGATGAAAGGAGAAACAAGAAGGCTTGAAGGACAATGTGCCGAGGCATCTTGTGGAAGTAACAGATATATCAACTTAGTGGGGTAAGTTATTAAAACTAAAATCATATAAATAATAGTGGCTCCAAAAAGAAACCAGAAAACACACCCCAACTTCTCAGAAGTACAGAGGCTGGCATGCATTATTATTACAGGTGTACTGAGAATTACACTGGAAATCATTCTAAAACTTTGCAAAGCTTGACCTAGGCATAAAGAGGGAGGCCAGAATGAGTGCATACAGGCTGGACATCTCCAAAAACTAGAATAAAAATGAACCCATGTTAAATATTAGATCAAATCACATGATACCCCGCCTAATTTTTAACAGACTCTTTAAGGTCGAGTGTAACTGAAATCGAATAAATCAGGAGGTAGATAATTACATTCTTATGGATCTCGTATGGTGTACGGAATGATCTAAAACTAACAAAGAAACAGGCTCTAACATACATGGAGTTAAAATCAAATGAGACATGACTGTCTTCCTTGGAAAATATACTAATGTATTTTCGGCTAAAATACATGCAATCTACTTAATATTACGAAAAAATGTAATAAATAAGTACACAAAACAAACCATGGTAATTTTCTGAGCCAGCCAAGCAGCCTTTAATACCATTGGTTTAAACAAAATCAAGTCTAAGCTGTTCTGAAACTGCCTTGGAATACTTAACGGCAACCCATAATAAAGGTCTCAAAGTAATAAAAAGGCTAATGAAGTTTCAAAGAGGGAACAGAGATCAAAACAAAACATCTGCTTGACAAGCAGTGTACAAGTAGATAACAACTAAACACCAAACTCACTGGCAACAGATAAGAGAATAATTAATTTGTAAGCTCATGCTAATGGGACCAAATACATTCGTCCTAAAATACTACAGTTCGCATGGTCCCATAATATATCCATTATTGTAAGGTTACTAACGGGACATTGGTTGCTGAAACACCTTAATGTGATGGGAGTACAGGTTAATACCACCACGCGTAGGCTCGGCATGAAAAAGGAAGAAAGCTCTTGCTAGGCAGCGGTTTGCCGTTTTGGGTCTTGGACTAGGAAAAACGCTGCAGAAATAGTAGAAAACGGACAGGAGATAGGAGGCAAGCGAGCGTGTAAGGCGACCAAAATACAGCGGCGGCGCGTGGTTCAATACTCTGGGGGTGCACAACGTAAGATACAAAAAAAATTGGGTGCCACACAACCACGTCCAAAAATATTCTTTAAGCGCTATCAAACCGTCAATCTGGGTTAGCAAATTAAAGGATCTTATTAAAAAATTAAAAATTAATAACTTACCCTGCTGTCTCTGATGAATACTTCGGCCTTGCCAAAACAATTGTCTTTATAGATATAGGAATAATAGTTTTTATACTTCACAAACACGTTTTGAATTGAAAATCAATACGTCTGTCCTTTTTCGAGATAAATGCATCAATAACTAATTCATTAAAATTTGGGATCTCTTGAATCATTTGTTTCTCAATAGATAACATTGCGAGGGCAGTTAACCTATTTTCACCCATTGTACTTCTAAGAAAAGTTTTTATTCGTTTTAATGTGGAGAAACAACGTTCCGCTTCTGCGGTTGTCATGGGCATCGTAACAATTGCTTGTAGCACTAAAAACGTCTCTGAAAAATCTACTTGCAAATTATTTTCAATTAAAAATTTAAGTAGGTGGACTGCTCCTGAAACTTCTCTAAAATCTGATCTTCTGTATATTATTTCCAGTTCTGTCTTCAATTTATCCTTGTTCAAAAAAGGAAAATTCATAATCGCTGAATTTAGGTTTAGTATGGGAAAATTCGTTGAAAATGTATCAAAATTATCAACTGAAAATAAGTGCGCTATTTCCAGATGGCCAGTGAATGAAAATCTTCTTTTGATTTCTGCAATTATAGTGTCACATACCTCCTTGGCTTGCACCACCGTAGAAACATAAGAATGTCTATCTTCTGTCTTTCTTCTTTTCCTAGCTTGATTGTCATCAATGTTTGCTAACTCAGTTTCTTTAATAGTATGTATATTATCTCGTTCTTTCTGAATATTTTGCTCAAACTCAGTAATGCATCTTTTTACGGTTACTGAATCAGTAGCTCTTTTTTGCAGCTGTGAATATAAAATGTTGACGTGGAGCATTATACGATGAAAAACTGACAACCAAAAAATAAACTTAGGATCATGCAATAATCTTAAAAGTGCGCCTGCCTTCGTGATGGTATCAGATTGTCTGGATGTAGATTGTATTTTTTCCATACACGCTATAAGGGACTCCCGGTTTTCATATACTGTATTAACGGTTCTAATTTTGAAGTTCCACCTGGTAGCAGATGCTCTTGGAACTCTATTTCCAACCACTTCATCCAATATGGCAACTCTTTGTGGAGAGTTGGAAAAAAAATTGGTAATGTCACTCAGTTCGGCAAAAAAAATACGTGCATTCGTATTTATGCTTGTTGCCTGAGACATTATCAAGTTTAATTGGTGAGCATAGCAATGAATATAATGGGCGTATTTAAATTTATCTTTAATAAGTTTTTGTACACCACCATGAGCGCCACTCATGACGCTTGCTCCGTCATAACTTTGGGAAATCAACTGATCAGGATTTCTTAGAACATAATTTAACGCTTCTTCTATGCAGCGAGCTAAAGCAACAGCATCATGTTCATTCGGTTTTACAAAAGTCCAAAATCGTATAACGGGGCTGCCGTTCGGTAAAGTATAACGGTAAACTATAACCATTTGGAAAATATTGGAAATATCACTTGTTTCGTCACTCATAATGGACACAAATTTCGAGGCGGCAATTTCTTTTTTGATATGTGCTGACACACGAAAAGAATACATTCCAATAAATCGTTTTGAATGTCTTTTGATGTACCTTTAAACACAGTAGCTTGCTGCAAATGATCCCTCAGTGCTAAATCCAGTTCGGCAGAAAAATTTATAAGTCCTCTAAATATACCAGGGTTCACAGAATCTTCTTGTTCATCATGTCCACGGAGAGCAAGCTCAAAAGCACCACAAAATTTTATACAGTTTATAATTTTAGATAAAACATACCTATTTTTCTTTACTTGGTCATTATGTTTTTGAATGCTTGATCGATATGCACTATTTAATTGTTGTCGAATATCTTGTTTACCTAATAAATTATATCCTAATTTAGCAGATAAATGTGACTTTGAATTTTGATGTTTTTTAATTTTTTCGGATAAATGTATTAAATCTCTAACGCCAGATTTTGTCCATTCTGATGTCTCGTCGCTTCCAAATAATAAACAAGGAAAGCAGTAAAGATTGTTACTCACATCACACCCGCACAACCAGTCAGTTTTTTCATAAGTATCTGTTTTAAAAGTACGTTTATATTCACGACTTTTGCATTTAGTTACATTCGTAATTAATACACTTGGTTTCGGACGCCCAACACTTTTAATTTTTATTTTTTCTTCTAAAGGAAGGGAAGAAAAATTAATTGTCTTTAAATATTGCACGCTAATGTCCGTCATTTTAACAAGTGCACAAATTTTATGTGCACGCGTGCCAGTAGAAACATCGAACGTCACACTAGACTGCCGCGGTGAGGGAGGGAGAAGATTGACCAATCGGATCGAATATTCCGATGTGCAGTGTACGAAGATATCGCGGCGGGCGTCGTGCAAAGCGAACGGCTGTATTTTTTTTTTCTCGGCTGGATTTCTCACGTTACGCATTGGAGTTTTGTTTACGAAATAATTGATCGTTTTTTAAATAAAAATAATTATTAAAATAATGACAGGACAGAATCACAGGATTTAACTAGTTTTTTTTTCAAGAGGCATTAAATTTGGGGGTGCACGTGCACATGTGCACTTATTGAGGAACCGCCGCTGCCAAAATATGTCTTTTACGTCTGAATCACATGTAATTAAATAAAACACATTTGGGACAACGCCACCGATAAAAGAAATGTGACAGCACTTTTAACACAGCAGTGTTTCCTCCCTTGCTGCCTATCGCTATCGCCTTTCATCGGTCTCACGTTCACAAATGGTACTTGAATACGCAAAAAGCAGAGGAAAGGATATTTAATTATTATGTACTACAACAATTCAATCAAAACGGATAAGCAAATCGTCGAATGTGACTGAAAATTAGAAGTTAGGAAAGTTTTTTAGGAAGAACAATGAAATAAATTTAATCTAATTAGTGCTTTTTAAAGTGTTTGAAAATATGCCAAAAATAAGGTACTTTTCTATATTATTTCTTTTTCGTTGATTTGAATTGGACAATTGGCAACACCGCGCAGTTATAATGTCAGAGAATAACAGATATAATTCTAATTATTTATTTATTTAATAAAAATCCAAACAGGCTTAACTAGCCTAATTACATGGATGGTATAATTTAAGTAATTTTTTACAGGTGACATAATATTACAGTATTTTAATTGCAGAGGATAAATCACTTTAAATGGTAGAATTAAATAATTTTAAGAAATTTCACATGTTTTTAAAGTAGTTGTTATTTATATTATTTAAATTCCAAAGGTATCGAAGTAAGATATCAACTTTTTAAATTGCATTAAAGACAGAGACCAATCTAAGTTTACTATAGTATTAATATTATTGGCCAAACACAGAATTGAATAAAGTGGAGAACCAGCAGAGTTTTGTATATTGAATATTAGGGAGTTCCGTGTGCGTTTAGGAGGGACATGAAACGGTATGTAGTATAAAAGTCTGCTACAGTTTATTTGATTATTTATCACTTTGAATAACAAGTTCATCATTGCTGTTTTACGTATCGTACTTAAAGACAGGATTTTAAATTCTTCACGTAACATTTGAGATCTTACATAATTATAGTCAGGCCATCGATGATACTTTTTATAGTATGTAGTATTATATTAGTAGTATGTAGTATTATATAAAATAAGTTTACATAAATGTTCCTCAAGTCCCTAATATTTAAGAAAATGTTAATTTATATATTTTCTGGTTGAAAATTTGAAAAGTTCTCCCCTCCCTAAAACCTAAAATGTAAGTTTTGTAAAAAATGGATGTTTAAGAAATCTTTCCAATATTAACCCACAATTTTTTAAACACTAACAATTATTGAACAGAAAATAGGCTTTGTTACTGTTACCTAGCGACACTTCAGCAACAGCACTGTTAATTAGAACCCAACAGTAAATGGTCGAGTGGGGACTCCTATCAAGGCATCAGAATTAATTTTAAATAATTAAATTAAATAAAAAAATCCCGGCCAACGGTGGGATTCGAACCTGGGACCCTTGGATCCACAAGCAGAGATTCTACCACTGAGCCACCCACCCCCGAAGATTATTAAATACATTAAGTACATATTTTCTTCTTCTAAAGATAATGCTTCATGTAGTTTACGCGTACTTGTGTTTGCAGTATTTTCTAATGCACTCGCCTTTTTTATATAACTGTAAAATTATAATATATATTAATACAAAATTCCGAATCCATTAAAATTTATAAAATACAGCGATTAATAAATATAGTCTGACTTATCTGTCAAAAGAGAAGGTTTATTATAGAAAAAAACATGCAAACATGATTAAATCTAAACAAAAACTTTTATTGAGTCAATCAGATATATTTTAGCTACAAATAAGCATTGAAGGAAGAGTTATAAATAAAACGTCTATTTCTTGAACCTTTACTACGTTCTGCAAATTAAATTACTGCATTTCTTTCTTCTATAGACTATAGAAAATTTGAATTTGAGATGTACTTATGTGTGTGTCGGTTTTTTTTAGAAAGATATAGCCCAAATACTCCGGCTGATTTAGATAAGATGTGGAATAGAATTTCTATGGTGCACGTGAAGGGCTGATTAGATTTTGGGCATAGTCGGAGCAATTGGGGTGCTTTAGAGATTTGTTTTTCCTAATTTTTTTGTATATTTTTTATAATTGGACAGGCACATTCTCCGGATAAAAGTTTTTTACGACGTTCTTATCTATATTTTAGTAGTTTGAAGAACATTATTGTTTTTTTAGCACGATACAGCCCAAACTATCTAGCAGATTTTGATAAGATTTCGAAAATATAACTTTTAGGGGCCCCTAAAGAATAGATTATATTTTGGACATAGTCGGAGCAACTGGGGGTACTCTATAAAAAGTAATTTTTGTATTGTTTAGTATATTTCTGTTATTTATAATTTGAAAAGAAAATTTTTTTAAATAATTTTTTTTGTGATATAATTTTTGTTATATACATAATGTCCCTAAAATGGGCCGTATTGAAGATAATTGATAAAAGTTATGCAATTCATTTTTGTTTCAGTAGAAAGTGGTGTATTTAGGCACATCAGATATAAATGAGAAAATTGTTTTCCTTTAAGATTTTTGCATATTAACTGAATTAACGATTTCTAGCGTATCTAACTCTTTCGTATTATACTTTCAATAAAGATCTTAATAGTCCTTTTGTTTATAAATGTATAATTTTTTTTAGATGCGGATCTGTCGGAGCAGTCCCCCCTTGTAAAGTAGTTGATGGCGATCTAACAAAGCCTTTCCCAGAATGTTGCGAGCAAGTAGAATGTCCAAAGATTAAATCCAAATTGGTAGACGAAGGTGGTTTAATTTCCAAAAGCAATCTATACTATACAGAAATGAACAATAATGATCTAGAAACCAAGGAAGAATCTAAACAATCTGAGAACACTAACACATTGTAAATATATATCGTGAAATACTAAAAAAAAATATTTAATTATTTTAATTTTATTGTGAATAAAACAAATTAATATTTTGAATTAGTTATGTTATAAGTCCATTGCAAGATAATCTAGAAAGTGTAATGGTCTGGCAATCTCTTGAAACGTTCTCCAACATGCTGATCAGAGCCGGCTTAGGTTAAGTATTATTTTTTCAAATGTTAAAGATAATTTTTAAAATTTGATTTCTACAAATATCCTTTTGCGGTCTACATTGCATTGAACAAAATATAACACGCTAAATAACAAGGTTTTATTATCAAACACAACATGTCCAACTAAAAAATATATTGAAAATTGAAACTGACTAAAATTATTAAGTATTAATTTAAAAAGAATATGTTTCACCAGATTTATTTTGTGGAAATGTAGGTAAATGATTTTAAAAACGTCTATATTTCTAAATCACTTTTACAGTCACTAATTTCATGTTCTGAAATAATATCACCAGCATCATCAGTATCATCCAAATTTATTTCAATTTTTTAAATTGTATTGTTAAATCCCATATATATTTCTCTTCGATCTTTTAACACGTTGAATAGCGTTTTTTCAGTTTTCAACAGTTATACAGTTAAATGCATTTCTTACTACATCAATTACAGAAGAAGTGGACTTAGGAGAAGAGTTATTTGCTCGAGAACAATTTTTTAACTGTGACCATAATTCTATGGGGTTTGAAATACAGTGGTAGGGTGGTAAACGTAAAACTTTGAATCTATGTTTTGTTGCTATGGTGTCGATAACACATTCAGGTTGAAAATCAACTAAGTGTAAAAGTTCTATCAACTGATTTTTAGTGTAGTTTTCTTCAAAAAATATATCATTCTCTATCAGAAAGTCCTGAGTCACTAATTTTGTAGAATTGGTATTTGGTTTTTTCGTACCAACCGAGAATGGTAAAGGGCATTATCTAAAACTATTACGCTATTTTCATTTAGTTTTAGTAGTAATGTAATCTCAAACCATTTTTCAAAAAGAGTACTTTCTATGTCCTGGTGGTAGTCCAAACTACTATCCCGTACATCTTTTACAGACAGGAAGAGAGCTCCTTCTACGCAACCTGTTTCTCTACCACAATTTAAGATACCTATTCTTTTTCCTTAAGATGGAGGAGTGTCTACATTACATTTTACACTTTCATCAGTCCATCATTTTTTTATGATGTCGTGAGTGTTGAATCAGGTTTTATCTAAAAAATGAATGTTTCTGCCCTCTCGTGAATACTTTGTAATTATATCGAGATATTCTATTTTCTATTTAACTAAACGACTGGATTCCATAATTGTTTGTATTTTATTAATGGTTTTAAAGTTAATCTCCATAATGTCGTTTTATGTCAGTCTTCTATTACCGTATTCAAAGTAGGAAAATTATTTACAGAGAACATTTCATAAATTGTTCTCCTAATCGGTTATAAAAGAAACTGTGGGATGGAACGAGAGGAACCAGAATCTTCTCGCACCTTCCTAGGTGGTGTCCCTTCTTGTAAAATTTTGTATACAGTTTACTGTGGTACTTTTGTCAAAAAAGCAGTTTCTTTTAGGGCTTCGGAGGAAGAAAATTAATTTTTTAGACCTGTAAATAAGACTTAGTGTTAAAATCCAATATATTTAGAAAATTAACATTTATATAGATTGTTGTTTTCGAATTTCCACCTTGCGGTCTCGTATCTTTGCCGCTCGCGCGTCATATTGGTAAAATTGCCCCCAAAAACAGTATTTTGAAAATATTACCTATTAACCTAGGGAAAAATTCTTACAATTTATGTGTTTACCTCTTTCTTGCAAAATGAATAGTTTTAACGCAAGAGCGCCCCAAAGTTTACTACCGAGTATATCTCGTCCAAATTAAACAATTGTTTATGATTAAAAACTGTAATAAAAAGATAAAGATTTCAGTAATTTTATTTTCTGAATTTGTTTTAGTAAAAATTAAAATATTTTCACTTTTCACTAAAAACTGCGTTTTAAGTAGTTTTTCAATAATAATTTGAATAATTCGCATTCAAAATTCGCGACAATTCACTATTACGAAATTTTCACATTCTCCTTGGCTTCGTCTTTAAGAAAAATGAAAAACATAATATTTTTTTTGCAAAAGCGACTTTAAATTAAAATAAATCAAAAAAAGTAAAAGAATAAAAGTTGTTTTAAATTTAATTTTAAGGGCGTATGCAAATTTTGAATGTGATTAAATAAAAAATCATATTATTGAAAAAATACTACTTAAAATGCAGTTTTTAGTCAAAATTCTTTTAATTTGTACTAAAACTAATTCAGAAAATCAAATTGTGAAATCTTCATTTTTTTATTATAACCAATTTATTATTGTTCAATTTTGACATGGGTTCAATTTGTTACATAACTATTTTTATAAAAAAATAAGTCGGAAAGGAGATAATTTGAAAATACTGTTTTTGGGTGGAATTTTTTTATATTACCGCAAAGTTAAAGTTTGTGACCTATCTAATCGTTAAAACCCGTATAAACTACACTCGCCTCGATATTTTTTTCTAAAAATGCAATAATTTGTTTTTTTAATTCGGTTTTAATCATTTGGCCAACAGAGAACACGGTTTAGTAGAATACCCTGAAGATTTTTAACATGAAATGCCAAATTAAATATATTCCTGATATTGTTCGATAATCTCAATAGTACAAAAGTTATCATATTGCCCTTACTTCAGTGTTCCAAGTAGGCTATGCATTTTCAGTGATTTTTACGATGACATTAAAGGTTAAATTAAGTGTTAATTATGTTCTATGGTTTATTACTTGGTTATGTTAATTAGTGCGAATTTTAAGATGTCTTTAAGCGCAGAAACTGTTGCATCTATTGTTGCTCTTATTCAAGACGGAAGAAGTCAAATTGACGTGGCTAACAGATTCGGGGTATCACGCAGTACCGTGCAACGTGTATTTACACGTTATATAGAGAAGGGACTTTATACTCGATGTCCTGGAACCGGTTCTCAAAGAAGAACTACTCATCGAGATGACCGTTTTATATCTTCAGCACTAAGAAATCGTCGCACAACTGGTGTAGAGATTAGAAATAACATTGAACATGCCAGGAACGTAAATGTTAGTGAACGAACAGTTAGAAAAAAGTCAAATGAATCTAATGTGAGATCTCGAAGACCCGCTATAAGATAAGAACTTTCCAGGGAGCATCGTGTAGCCAGATTACAATTTGCTAGGGAGCATCAAAATTGGAATTCAGACGACTTGAGCTTTGTGTTGTTTACCGATGAATCCAGATTTAGCTTACGATCACCAGATGGTCGCGAAAGAGTCTAAAGAAGAATAGGTGAACAATATGCTGAGTGTACTTTTTGCCCTAGGGTAACTTTTCAAGGGGGTTCAGTTATGGTGTGGGCTGGAATATCTTCGGAGGCGTGTACAGAATTGTACATGGTCCCTAGGGGATCTGTGACTGCGGATAGGTACATAAATGAGATCCTACAAGAATTTGTTGTCCCATATGCACCATTTTTTGGCGACAACTTCATACTGATGCATGACAATGCACGCCCTCATGCCGTCCGCATTGTCACGGAATATTTGAACGAAGTTGGTATTACCCAAATGGCATGGCCAGCGCGCAGTCCTGATCTAAATACCATCGAGCATGTTTGGGATATGCTCGGTAGAAGGATTCGAAGCTAGGTACCTGCTCCTCTTAACTTGGATCAGCTCAGAGTGGCTCTTTTAGAAGAATGGGAAGCAATTCCACAAAATGAATTAATAAACTTGATTAACGGTATGCATATTTTCTTTATGTGAATGTTAACAGACGTTATTCTCTTGAAATAAAAGCTTTCCGAAAACATTTCTTGAAGAAAATACATTATAAAATCATGTACCAATCCGTGCCTATCGTTGACACAAGTTACAATACAACAAATATAAAATTGAGGCATTTGAATCAAAAATTATAGGGGTGTACGTTTTTCGTGCCAATGAGTGTATAATGTTACATACACAAAATGTTTTTCCCCGACTTTTTTTTTTCAAGGCTTTATTTCCTGGATTCATTATATGGAAATAATTACTCACCAGAAAAAACATTTAGAACTATTTCCTTGGCATCAATAGAAAGATGACAACACTTCCATTTTCCTGTTTCCTGTTTGTCCAAATTTATTTTAGAAGAATACTGTTGAACATTACCTATTTCACTCATTTTCACTACGTATTTTAACCGAAACCTCAACCAAATCGCATAAACTTTGTAGCTAAACTAAAGTTATGAGGTAAATTCCATACCAATACTACCCAGGGCAGGATGCTTTCGTGTTCAGTTTTCCTCTGCCACTCGCATGATGTCACTCATAGCCTGACTCTCATTATGGAGAAGTATCTTTACTTTACGATTTACTTTTGCTGTAAAATTGATCTCTGGGATTTCCGGAACGAATCTTGCGGGAAAGGTTTTATACATTTAGTTACTCTTTCCTCTTGCTATGATGCAACCACTTTTTGTCTTTAGGAAAACTACAAAACCTAACGTCTTTGCACGCATTCCGTTTAGATTCGTTGTTGGAATTACATTCCCACAATAACACACCGCATTTAACTTCTATAACCAAATATGCACGATATACCCAGCTCTACAATTGATTAAAAGCACAACGTAAGCACAGTCGCTATAAGTGACGTTGCTTAAGGACCGCCCACTGTGCACGACATCCTACCTTTACTTGGGTATATCGCTAGTTATAATGCACATCCTGAAATTGAATGTTTTAATCCCGAAGGTACCTTACACTTTTATTAGGTACTTTCACTTTTATTACAATGTTATGGAGATAATCTTTTTTTCTGAATACGAAAATAGAAATCCACTTGTCTCAGCGTTTTTTTGAAAAATTATGAATACAATTAATTGTTTATCAAACCTTTAGTATTATTGAGAGATTTCAAATCCTAAATTTCAATTCATCAACTATTTTTTTCCGAAACCTCAGAGTCCTTAACCTTTTTTATTCCACAATATAATCTGACAAACATTCTTACGAAATATTAATATTATGTTTGTTCTCCAAAAAGAGAACATACATTTTTAACGTCCATTTGGAAGCACCGTCCCTGTTCCAGCTAATACACAACCTTCCTTCGTGTGTAAAGCGAGACGATTTTCTACTATAAATTGCAAGAGACTGTAGTTTATATATTTTTTCTAATTTCCAACACTTTTAGGTTGGCTTAGCTTGATAATTTGGAAAAAATATATTATCTAAAACCCAACTGCCATTTGTTAAAGATGTTTGTAAGTAAGCACGTTTCACTGTTGTCAATCATAATGAATTTTACGATAATGGATTTACCTTGTTACATGCCGGAGTTTATTTCTACTCATATGTGATGATGTTTTATATCAGGAGTGGCCAACTTTTCTGTATAAAGATCTTTTTATTATCCTAAAATTGTGTCGCGATCGACTTGTTAAGGCGTATTTTAAAGGGGAAGAAGGGGTATGAAATGCATACTATTTTTATACACTGTGTTTTAGTATAAGGTGCATTCTAGCGAAGTATGGGTAGATAAGTTTTCGAGATATAGGTTCATGAAGAAAATAAATTTCCAGACTTAACTTTTGTTAGCAGCATTCCATACATACAGTACCTAAAAAAATCGATTTTCCAACACTTTTTCAAGATAGATTTTTACTAACATAAAATGCAATTTCATCAACTGCAATGTATAAGTTGTTGTACTATTTGTTCTAAATAAGAAAAAGTTGTTATAAAAATGCACAGTATGGCTGACAATGTGATTTCAGTATTTCACTATCGCGTTTTTTGGGCCATATCTACATTCAAGAAAAGCTTTGCACGTGGAAGATTATATTTGTTTGAAATAAAGCAGAGTTTGCTTCAAATAATATTTCTAGATACAATGAGAAAATAAATGATGAGTGAAGTGTAGGCATAATTTGTATTTTAAGATTTATAATAATTAATTTAAGAATAAATATTTTATTAGTCTAAAATTGTTAATTAATCTAAGAAAGCTCTTACGTTTGTTATAAGTATGATATGCTTTTAAAACCGACTATCACGTACTTGATTTAATGTTATAAAAGGATTTGATTTAAAGCATTTAAATTTCAGAACAAGAATTAAGCAATTAGAAACCTATGTACTTCACAAAATATTAGCGAGTACAAATTCACTGCACGGTGTTGCCAGCTGAAACTTATTTTAAAATGCAACCACTGCACTGGTACGGTAGATATATGACTGGTACATGTTGAGGTGTGATACTTATTATTCGGAGAATCTGGCAAATTGGTATTAGCACGTGTTCATCTTATTGTCCATTTTCTACCAAGTTTATGTCGTATAGTTAGGGTTGAAATTTTACTTTTTGTTAGAAATTCTTTATGATTCAATTAATAAGTTTATGTATAAATTAAATTGAAATGGAGGATTTGGTAGATGGATGGGGCCTCAACGACATGATACCTGATATTTGTAAGTATATCTAGTTCAATTTTTGTTGGGTACCTATTATAATAAGTAAATTTATAATCATAAGAACACGAAACAAATTGGAATAAAAGTAAAAAAAAATGTATGATGCTAGATGACGAATTTTTGGAAAGACGACTTCTGCCTTGCTAAGACAAGAGTCGTATATACGAAAATTCCGATTACAAGATTGTTACAAATTTAATAAGCTTACATTTTATTTTATTATGAAACAAAATAATACAGGCCTATTTTCATTAGAAAATATTCAAAATTTATTTACGAAGTCTAAAAAGACGTAATTGTCTACCTACTCACATTTACTAAAAATATTCATTTTGTAGATACGACCTCTTATCTTAGCAGGACAAACTTTTATATTTCATTTAGGTTTTGTAGTTGTGAAATATTTTTTTTTAATTATAGGTGGGGCACCACAGAGAATTTGGTACATTAACTAAAAACAATTTTGACAGGTACATGTTAGAACCCAATTAGGAAGCAAGGACAGCTTTTTCTTATTTCGAGATTATTAATTTCTTTAATGAAACTATCCTATAATTCAACCAAAATGAATATATTTTTGTCAAAGCTAATATTAACATTTCTTAGAACAGTTCATATTATTATTGTAACAAATTTAGTTGTATTGGATTTAAGAACAAGGTATTATTGAATATAATTTATATTAAACTTGAATCAACCGTTAAAATGTATTTTGTTATACAATAATAATGTTTCTTAATAATAATGTTTTATTGATTGAATATAAAGTATATTTAAAAAAATTGTAGAAAATTCAACCCTACCTTAGAATTTTTGGCTCATTTTGAAAATTATTTAAGATTTAAGATGTACAGAATACTGCAATTGAGCGATAGATACTCTTCATTTAGTTAGAGTTATTTTAGTTAAGGCAAGTTGATTTTAATCTTGAAGCAAGGCTTATTAGCTATTGTTGAACAAGTATTACTAGAATTTCAAATCTTGACGAGTTTTACTTGCGGATATACAGGGTGTTATTGAAATACACGTACATATTAAAACTGGGTATTGCGCAGATCCCCACTGAATGTAGAAAAATATTATTTTTTAAAAATACCCCTTATTAAGGGAGTTATTAATTTTTGAAAATTAATTCTAAAACAAACGTACTTCACTGATATGTTGAGGATGACCTATATAAATTAGGTTTATTTACCTATTTTAAACATCAATAGTAATTAATATGCAAGTTTTTGTCAGATGATAAGAAAACTAGTCTTGTAAGAAATAACCATGTTGCCAAGATTTTCGAATTAATTTCTATTTCCGAAGACTGGTTTTTACTACCCTCGTTATCAAAAAACTAGAATATTTGATAAATGATTGTTTTTAAACTATACATTTTTGAAACTATAGATTATTAAAATTTTAGTTGATTTACGAATCTGGCTAACACGAGCGCGTCATTTCCAAGTTGGTAAAAAGTGTTGTTACGATTACTTTTAAATATTTTTTTACGATGCCACTATTTACGAATATTGAACTAACGGATATAGTGCTGGTTTATGGGGCAGCTGGAGAAAATTCTTGGCAAGCACAAATCCTGTATCGCGAACGGTTTCCAAATCGGAGAATTCCGGACTGTCGTACGTTTATTTCAACTGTTCAGCATCTAAGAGACCATGGAAAATTTGAGAGTGTCAATGCAGATCGAGGGAGAACAAGAACACAAAGAACATTGGCGGCCGAAGAAGAAATATTGGAAGCTGTTGAAAATCGGCCTCAATTAAGTTGTAGAAGACTAGGTCTTGAAATTGGAGTGTCCTCATTTGTTGTGTGGCGGACACTTAAAGAACAAGGTTTACATCCTTATCACATCCAAAAAGTCCAGGCCTTATATCCAGGTGATGAAGAAAAGAGAGTGGAGTTTTGTGAATGGATGATTCAAAAATGTGTTGATATTCCTGATTTTCTAAAAATATTATTGTATACTGACGAGGCTTCATTCACTCGTGATGGCGTGTTCAATATGCACAATACGCATATTTGGAGTGATGAAAATCCTCACGCCATTAGGGAAACTGGGCATCAAAGAAAATTTTCAATAAATGTTTGGGCTGGCATAATAGATCAGTATTTAATCGGGCCTTATGTTCTCCCGAACAGATTAAATGGGCCAGGATATCTCCACTTTTTAGAAGATATTTTGCCAGTACTCCTAGAAGAGGTACCGTTACAATTAAGGCAACGGATGTGGTACCTACTAGATGGCGCTCCTCCTCACTTTGATTTAAACGTACGGCAGTTTTTGAACATTAGATTTCCTCAAAAGTGGATAGGCAGAAATGGACCTACTAAGTGGCCTCCGAGATCTCCGGACCTAAATCCATGCGATTTCTTTTTGTGGGGTCACATGAAACAACTGGTTTATAATGAACCTATTAATAGTGTTGAACAATTAACCAATAAAGTTAATGCGGTAGCCGAGGAACTACTACAAAATCCAAGACTAATTTCTAATGTTCAAAGTTCTTTGGAAAGACGATTGCAAGTGTGTGTAAATAATAATGGACGGCATTTTGAACAATTACTGTAATAAACTTTAATTTGAATTAATTGGTTTTGCTACGGCAACAGTGCAATTTTTATGGGTAAGTTCAATTTCGATTTATTTTACTTCTTTAAATATGGAAACTAGTAGGTCGGAAAAGGGGACTCTTCCCCAATATTTAAATTTTAGAATTTGAAGTTAAAATTGGTGCCAATCGTTTTTGGTCATTACATACTATTCCCCATTTTAATATGTACGTGTATTTCAATAACACCCTGCATAAACACAACAAAGCATTGAAATAAAACCATCTTTTCTGTGAAAAGGCACAACTATTGTTAAATAATAAGGAACAGAGGAACGGACTAATTTAAGCAAATCTTCAAAATTTATCTGACCATTAAGTAGCTTGTGTAGAAGAACAGTCCTGCCTCCTGTCGTCTTCGTTCCAAACTTTGAACCCGATACAATAATAGTCTTGTTTCGTAAGCAGTTCTCTGGGATGGAAAGCGTAGTTTATTTCTAAAATTTGTGTTTGTACATTTTCAAGTCTATTACTGTGTGTGGTATAAGATGGAGACAATATTATGAAACAGTATTTAAGATTACTGCACACCAAACTGTTATATAGGCACAAAATTGCTCGAGTATCCTAAATGTTCCTCTTGATGAAGCCAAGTAGCCTAAAAACTTTCAGAATGACACACAAGGATAACGTCTTTTCCAGTAGAACTCCAAGGTCATTAATTAATGAAACTACTTCCAGATAATTTCTATTTATATAATAAAGAGTATTACTTAGACCAGAGCATACTGGCGCATTCGTTTGCAAAATTGTTTTATTTCGTAATTTTTTTTTTAAATGTCCGGAAGGCTCTACTGATTATAAAAGTGCAACGAAAAATTAATTAAGCCAGAAAAAATGCATTTTTTGAGATGAATTAATTTTTTTATATTCTTTAGGATATTTCGAATAAAAAAAGTCCTCCCTCGTATCTTCAACCCTTTATTTGTTATGAATTTTTTTAAATCCAAAATTAGATAGTACTTCTTTTTAAAAGTAAACGCGCGTAGAAAGCATATTGTTATAACGTAAAAAAAACATAACAACAAACAAAATTTTGAAAATTTATTTAGGTTATTTTGTTTATTATAGTTTGAATATTCGGTAAAAAATTTAAAATTATAGCATTTAAAATTTTAAGGTATATTATTTAATTAGAATTTTCGTCAATTTCGGATTTTAAAAAATTCATAACAATTAATGGTTAAAGATACGATGATGGATGATGGGCGCAAGGACTTTTTTATTCGAAATATCCTAAAGAATATAAAAAAAATTAATTCATTGCAAAAAATGCATTTTTTCTGGTCTAATTAATTTTTCGTTGTTTAAACAATAACATCAACAAATATCGAGTGTCATCTTACACTTTTATAATCAGGAAAGCCTTCCGAACATTTAAAAAAAAATTACGAATTAAAACAATTTTGCAAACAAATGCGCCACTATGCCCTGCACTAACTGGGGTTGGTACATCTGTAGAATCCCATCAATTTGCACTTTGATACGTTTAGTTGCAGAAGGTTTGATTCGCACCAGGGTACAAAACTATTCAGATCAACTGTAGATAATTAATGTCTAGTGACACTGGCAGAAATATTTTTATATCATCTTCATATATGAAAAAATGTGAATACTTAAAACACGAAGATATGTCGCTTATAAATAATATAAATAACACAGGACCAAAATACGAACTCTATATAGCACCCGAGGTTACAATGACTTCGCGTGATATTGACCCGCAAATTAGAATACATTGTCGCCGATTCGTAAGGTAGGACTTGATCCAACTAAGATAACTTCCTGATATTCCAATATCGGCGAGTTTCTCAATCAAGAGAGAATGACAAACTCTATCGAAAGCTTTAGACCGATCTGCATAAATAACATCTATTTCCCCCTTTAATACAGGTAGTGAGAAATTCCTGGAACACTGCAAGATTTGCAGTTTTGGATCTGCCTCTATAGAATCCATGTTGATTGGGAATAATATAGTGTTTATAAGAGTAAAAGATTTAATCTGTCAGTATGGATTTAAAAACTTTCAGGATTGAAGAAAAAAAATGAAATTCCACGGTAGTTCCCAACGTTAGTTTTGTCGCCTCTTTTAAAAATTGGAAATGAGTTAAGTTCTATTTAAATATTATTTTTATTTTAAGGTTCCTAATATGTTTTGTTCTGACGATTCCTATATGTTCTTGTTTAATATATTGGAAAATAAAGATTATTATTATTAACACAAATTTTTCATAATTTTGAAAATTCAACGTCCTGTTACTTTTCAACGTATTGTTGTGTTTGATTATTTTAAACAAGTTTATTTGTTTATAATGTAAGGGTATGTCGCCAGCCATACATGTAAGAGGCCATGTATTTAATAATATATAAAAGACCATATAATGACAGGAAAAAAAAAGAACAGTGATTAGGTTAGATTTTATGATTATCATCATGGTCGTACTGATAGAGCGACGTGATTTATGTTTTATGTTTAGTGAAATAAAGTTTTAGGGTCATTCAGGCAATTTATTTTGTATTTTCGGCCATCCCTTAGGAGTACCAAGGGACAATGGTCAAGTAGAAAGGTTCAATCGTACTATAATTCCCATGTTTGCCAAATTATCTGATTTATCAAAAAAATGGTTTAATGTCATTAGTGATGTTGAGTTTGCATTGAACAATACTTTTAATAGTTCCACGAAGGAAACATCTTCTAAACTTTTATTTGAAAAAAATCAGGTCGGAAAAATTAGTGACCCCTTAAAGCTATTTTTATCCTCTTTAAAATAGGATGTCCCTGAAGATTTTGAAAAAAATGTTATCAATGCAAGTAACCAGATAGAAAAATCTCAGAATTATAATAAGAAATATTATGATCAAACTCATGTATAAGCTACTTTATATGCCGTAGTAGATTATGTTATGATTCCTAATAAAGACGTTACGGTAGGTGTAAATAAAAAGTTACTACCTAAATTCAAAGGCCCATTTGTAATTAGGAAAGTTCTTCCTCATGATAGGTATGTGGTAGTGGATATTGAAGGATTCCAAATGACACAAAGACCTTATGAAGCAGTTTTTGATGCTGCTAGCATAAATCTGTATTCCAATGATACAGAAATATCTGATTAAAATACTTTTTTATTTTTATTATCATTTATTGCTTTACCACATCACGCTAAATATGTACATTTCTATACAAATTAAAACTAAATCATGTCTGATAAATTATGTTTAATTATGCTCGTTATGTTAAATTATGTCTAAATTATGTTTAATTATGCTCAAATTATGTTCAGTTATGCTCAAGTTATGTAAGATTATAAAAAAAAAATGTTTTCCAAATACAATTATCATGTTGTGTATTATGTTTATGTGAATTGTGTCTTTAAAGTTAGCCAATTGTTATACGGTTGGTAATGTAGTATCACACTTTTTTTATGTATAAATGTTTTTTAATTATGTATTATGTTCATTAGTTTACAACTACTGTTAGGATTTCATCATTTATGTATGTTTTATTCGTGAGGCCTGATTGAGATCAATCAGTTTTGTCAGATATGGCCGAACTGTTATCAGCCATACATGTAAGAGGACATGTATTTAATAATATGTAAAACACCATATAATGACAGGAATGAGAAGAAGAGTGATTAGGTTAGATTTTTTGATTATCATCATGGTCGTACTGATAGAGCGACGTGATTTATGTTTTATGTTTTGTGAAATAAAGTTTTAAAGACATCCATCCAATTACTGATACCCTTCCTATGAGGCCTCAGTATTGCATTCGTGCAGACGAAAAAATTCTCTTACCCCCATTTTTTATAATAATTTTTATTTCCGATGAAAAAAAAATTTTTCGTCTGGTCGTCTGTGTGTATGTATGCTGGCACAATAACTTTAGAACGAAAGTTATGATTGACATGCGGTTTTGAGTTTTTTGAATAATTACTTCTAACTTAAAACCCTACTGATTTTCAGAATTTTCGGTTCATCCTAACTACTTTAATATCAATTTTCTTATGTGACAATTTTAGGAATTCCAATTATTTCTAACGTTAACATTTCTAACATTCTTTCCATTCCATAAATTGCAAACATTCTCTAACGACCTGTCAAACAACAGCTGTTGATAATAAAGGTGAAATTTCTAAGGCGGGTTGCGACCTTCATATTTGCAACCATAGCCATTTTGGAGGCTATTTTTATTCGAAATTAGTCGCCAAGCCTGTCAATTTATAAAAAATAACTCTTTATGGTGGTGCTAACTTAAGCGTACTACTATTTTGCACCTAGCCACAAAAACACCTTTATCAAATTTACTGGCTCTCTGTCGCAACCCCATAGAATAATTATCTGACCATTTTGTTTGGCAAAAATCAGAATAATGATTGGCTGTGCCTGTCAAGTATCAAGATGTCAACTGTGATGTGTTAATGGCTCTTAAATGTCAAATTATTTAAAAATAAATGCTTCTTTTGATATTTATTGCAAATAATTTGTAGTGTACCTCAATTCAGGCTTTTGCTAAATAAAGGTACAGAGCAAGACAGATAATATAATATTCTTAAACAAAGGATATAATGCAGGTTTTTTGTAAATAATTGTAATTATACGATTTTGGATTACATATTCAACCAGCGAATTGTAAATAATTATTAGTAAACTTCTAGTCATATACTTCCTCAATTCATAAAATTTAAAAATAAATCTTCTTACTTTGGGATTTTAATGACGTAATGTGATCAACTCGTTTCAAATTTTGATCAATTATGATACCGAGGTATTTTGTTGTATTTTTCATTTTAATTATAAAGTTGTCATTTATTTGTATGTTGAAAGAAGGCCTTTGTAAATTACATTGCTCTCAATGGATGTACTTTAACACAAAAGTAGTTTTGTGGCTTTAAGTTGCTATAACCTATCGTCGCAAAACTATTAATAATTTAAGGGGTAATTTAAGGGGTAAAATAACAATAAATTAAGGGAAATACTTAAAAAGGACAGGTTTAAAGAGTATTATCACAAGAAAGTATATCCGGTCTGTTTATTTATCAAGTATTGTTTGAGGTTACTTTTAAATACATTTATTGTTGTTTTTTTTTTAATTTCTGTAGGCAGTCTATTAAATTTTTTTAACCTTTAATAAAAATTATATTTTCGAAACTTATAGTAATGGCTTGCCATACATGAAAGTCAGATTGGCTTTTTGTATTATAGTTGTGACATTGCGAATTATATTGAATTTTTTCTAATAGATCTGATGCGATGGTACTGTCATTTTTATTTTATAACTGAACATAATTCTGAACTGAAAGCCAATTTATTTCTTTTAACATAGTTGCAATATTCATTCTTCTGTCCTTAATAATAGAATATAAATAGGCGAAATAAGGAGCCCAGATATTTTACATTAGCAGACTTAAGAGGTAAAGGGGCGAATTATTATTGAATAAATTGCTCGAACAAGTTTTTAAACCTTAATCAAAAGGCGATATAGAATGGTTTTAAAAATCAAGGCTTGTGAAAATCATCACATGGTTGAACCTAAGTAATGCCAATGCTTTACAAAACAAAAAATTTAACATCCTAATACTACTATCGGCTTTCGGTCTTTCATTACAAGTTAAATCATTTCTCCATTTTGTTACGCTACAAGTTTACCCTTGTGGGCCTCAGTCTCGATAAGGTGGAAATCACCATTTTAGCGTCTTTCGAATTTATTATGTATTTTCGGCCATCCCTTACAATTATTTATTTGAACACATTTATTTTAAAACAATACTATTCTAATTTATATATATTTTGAATGTCTTTAAATTGAAAACTATTAATCTTTACATTTGTTTGTATATGACTGCCTGCTTCGTGTTCCTCAATCAATATTTATATACACATTTAAAATTATTGTGAAGATTCTAGAATTTTCTTTGCCAAAACTAGTAACATTATCACGTTCAATCTGGAATGTACTCGAAAGCGCCTTCTCTATAGTCGTGACATATGTTTGGTGTCAAGGGGTTTTATTATGTGTGCTAATCAGACAAGTTGAGCCTTAAAGGCCAAATGAGACAGAGAGGGACTTGGAGGATTATAATAATGAAATGGCTCGCATTACAGTATCTCGGTCTTTCTATTAAAGTCCAATCATTTCTTATTTTTTTATAAAAGTTTACCCGTGGGGGCATCAGTTCTGATAAGGTGGGAACCATCAAACTAAGCGTCTCTCAAATTTTATTAAATTTAATAATTCACAACCAAAATTTCATCAGATTTCGTAACAGATAGATTTTCGCTGTTCGCCGATGTGTAATCCAACCCATAAACGAAATCGAGAAACATCGTGCATAGTTAACGTACTCCAATTTAGATATCCCGCTTTGTAAGTATAATGTTTCGCGTCCTCAGTTCGTGTTAGCTGCGAAATCAAACCGAAACCGAAGAAGACTCAGTTCGGCTGAGCTCCAAGCTCCTGCACCCGTCGTCGTTCCCCAAATTCGCAATATATAAAAGTGTTGACGGCGTTCCTTTTCCGAAACTAGGGCTTTTTGTATTCGACGGTGCCGCCTAACAAGGTGATGAGAAAATACCTCGTGACAATATTTCCACGATAAGTTCTCCTTCTTGGAAGGATATCGTAGCGATTTTCATTTCTTGCTGACTTTGTTAGCGTCATTGACGTAGAGATAGATTCTTTGTCGATATTTTATTTTCCATATCTACTGTACTCCGTTTTCTTTTCAATTTGATCTCAGAGTGGCTCTGGAAATTTAATACATTTCTCCATGTGCAACAATAATAATATTAATTATTCTTTTTTAGAGTTTATGTGCTGCGGCAGTTGCTGATATGATATAACAAAGTGCGACACCGCGAGATGGTGGGATTAAAATAATTTGGCATTTTTATTTAATAATAATTATAACTGGATAGAAATGCAGTACAATTATTATATGTAAAATAATATTAATAATTTGATTTTCGCGTTAACTAAAAACTTTTAAATATGACAAATACGCAATACTGGCATGCAGTGGTAATAACATGCAAATTATGTAAGTCCAAAAATATTTAAATTAAAAGACTAAAGATAGTAAGCCCCATAAAATTGCTTTTTTACTTTAGTTTCTAGAAAATAATACATAATAGGTCCTCTAACTAACTATTTCTTATACCCACGAAGGTTTTTCACTTACGGCGCAACAAATAAAACGGTTTTTTTTTCAGTACCCTGTAAAATTCATATTTTGGGTTTTATGATATTTGCATGTTAAGCCGACGATTTCAAAGTTAGGCTTAAAACTTTAAACAAGCGCCAATATAGCTGTTTTTTATTTGAGTTTGTATTAAGTGAAGTTATTATTATCAATATAATCTTTATCTTTACTTTTGTCGGTTATAAGCAGGTAGAGTTAGGTTTGGTTTAGAATACTGCGACCTCTTGGGTCTGTTATATTCTCCTGCTTTCCCCGTATTCAGGTACTATCTTTGAAATAATCCTGTGTCTTTGGTTAGTTCCCTACCAAGTGTTCCTGGGGCATTCTTTCCAGTTCTAGGCGAAAAGGATGAGGGGCCACCTAGAAAGAGCTTCGAATTCGAAGATCACATGTTATCAGGTTCCTTTCTTTTCCATGTAGAGTCTACACCTAGTGGGATCATTGTGTAATCCCATCACATGAAGGTTTTTCAGTAACCAGTGCCCCGTTAGTAATCAGATTCGAGCCCTGTGAATGGTAGTTCTGATCCCTCTTTCGCGAGTTCAACAGCCTTTTCATTTCCTTGGATACCTTTGTATCCACGCTAGTTTTATCTTATTGTGGGTTGTCAAATCATTTAGTATTCTAAGGTAGTTCCAGACAAGCTTTGACTTGATTCTGTTTGAATCAACCTGGAAGATTCTGTTGAAGGTTAAGCAGGGTGTCACGTGATCTGATCCCATCTTTA